AAAATCGAGCTTTTCAATGGAGTTTCTTTGATGTTGAAAATAAAGAAGTTTCTATTAAGAGGTCATATTCTAACTTTGCTCATCTTTCGATTTTCAGATCTTGCGTCGTGGGTATATGAGTTGTTTTGTTCGATTTCCTTCGTTCCAGTTTTATGACTCACGTGATACTGATATCTTGGCCCTTTCATTTGTGATGTTTGTTTGTTTAATTGTTGAATCACATAAGAAGTTTTACATAGTCGTTTGTCTCCATTAATTGTCATATTATCTCGTTTCCGTTAGTTGGTTTGTATATTCGTATTGTTGTAGTTTGCTATTTGTTGAAATGGTTCCAGTTTGCTCTGTGTTGTTGATCACGTTGTTTGGTTCCCTGTTCGTTCAGGTTTTGTCTAAGTTAAATCACGATTTTATTCCCAATATAGTTAGTTTAGTCTCTTACATCTGTGTGTCAATCGTAGTCTGAAATCTGCCCGTATTAGTTCAACATAGCTTCGTTTTGAATCATTCATCTTTGTTGTAATGTTGTTGGATTTAATTTTAAGATCAATTGATTATTGAGTTTAGTGATTTGAATCTGTTTAGTTGTTCTGTTTAAGTTTAATTTGAATTTGAGCTCAATAATTTGAATATACTTGTTTGTTATTGTTGTTGAAATCTGAAAGTAGATTTGTTGTTTAAAAATATTGTTCAGTCAAAGTAATTCGAGTTGTTTCTTTGTTGTTCATCATTTAGTTTGAGTTTGTTCATAAAATTTGATTAGGAATTGGTTATAGCTGCTATATTTTGGTTAGAATTGATTAAGTGAATTGGTTATAGCTGACGGGGTAGATTGGTAAATTGCAGTATTTTCAGGGGTAAAATGGTAATTTCAGTAAGCTCGGAGGTGTATTTTTGGAATTGAAAATATGAACGATTATTTATTTTGAGTGCTCTGTCCATTAAGATTAAATAATATTTAAATAATATTAAAATAGTACCTGGTGGGGGACAAGACATAATGTAGTGAGTGAATAATATAATTGTTTAAGGTAGGCATAGGGGACAAGATATAATGAAGGGGATAAAATATTTGTTTAATGTAGTGGGGGACAAAACATTAGGTAGTGGGATTAAAAGGGGGATGGGTGGAAGATAGTGGAATTTAATTTTAAAATGCTGAAAGTTGGTAATAAATAGAGGAGACTTGGACAGAATTTAGAGAGAATTAGCTAGAGATTGAAGAGAGAGAAAATTCCGAAAATATTAAGACTTCCAAAAAATAAAAATAAATAAATAAAACATTCTGGAAATTTAAAGAGAGTAGTATACACTTGATATACAATCTAAATATTCTGATATATGGATTCAGAAATTAAGGGTTAAACATTAACTAGTCTTTCAATCTGAAAAGATTCCCTTTGCTTCTGCCCGTTAATTGTTGTTGGTGTCTCGGGAATTTCATTTGATTTGTTCCTTGAGTTTGGTTGGTTGTTTGCCACTACTTCACTGGTTTGCTGGATTTTTATCTTGATTTAAAATCTGTCACTGGTTTCTCGTTGCTGGTTGTTACTGGTTGTTGGGTGTCACTGTTGTTGTATGCTACTGCATTTCTACTGATCTTCCTTTTCTTTTGCTTCCAATATCAGGTACACAACTGACACGCTGGTTACTGTAAACTGAAACATGAAGCATGAATATGAAATGAAGAGTTGAAGTTCTGAATTTATCTTAATTATATTATGGATTTTATTTGTATATATACATTATTTAGCTTACTCTAATCAGAATCATGTAGCTGTTTAATATATATAGTGGAACATCTGACGTTAGCTTAGCGGACGAACTATCTATGTATTGCCTAAAAAATAAATAAATTGTGTAGTAACTCTGTCTAGTTAATTCGTTATTGTTGGATGATTATCATGTCTCAAAAAGCATGTTAGCTAATTTAGACTATTCTTAAACATTCAACAGTTAGTTCATTAAACGAATAGATCATTTTGGAACTTGTATGAATATTGTTTAGCTAAATACTATTGGTTAATTTCAGCATGTAAATGGTTTAGGATTAAAATTAGATTGCCAAGTTTTTTTTTTAATTTGACAAACTGTGAGCATGCCTAGTATAAGGTAACTAGGTAGTAACATGTGAATGAGATGACTTGGGTCCAGTTTTGTACCATACAGATTGGGTCTGGGCCCGCATTGGCAACGGACTACCCTGCTTGCATCATTTTCAGATTTTACGAATCATATTCGGAACCCAACTATAATAACTCGTTAGCATGTAAATAAATTATGACCTTTTCTCTTTCATTTTTAGAGACAAATTTAATAGAAAAAATGTAGGCACTTTAGGATTATCCTGTTAAAATAAATGAGATGAGCCTCACCCAATAAAACGCATAAGTTGCAGGGCCCTCAATAAAAGGTTAATAATTGTATAGACTTCGGGATCAGTCGTTTAGCAAATTTCACGGCCTTACCCCAAAAATAATGATACGCTAGTCGCTTTAGGCCCGTCTTTAACAATTTATTTTCTTAAACTCGGGTGCACATTTATGTGACCCAAATCCAAATCTCAACAGAGTCGAAATATGTCGATAACCCCGGGTACATTGATGTGACGTGGTTCGAGATATATTTTCACGATGTTGCAATTCTCGATAAAAATAATAATAATGATAAAAGCAGTTAAAAGTCAAAAATTCGCACATATGTTCAACATGTATTATATCAGATAATCAAGCCAAATATAACAGTTGACTAACCGTGCTAGAACCACGGAACTCGGGAATGCCTAACACCTTCTCCCGGGTTAACAGAATTCCTTATCCAGATTTCTGGTGCGCAGACTGTTAAACAAAGTCATTATTTTCCTCGATTCGGGATTCAACCGGTGACTTGGGACACCATAAATCCCTAAGTGGCAACTCTGAAATAAATAAATAAATCCCGTTTCGATTGTCCTTTAATTGGAAAAAACTCCCTTCAGTGCCCCTTTGCAGGCGGTGCGGGCAAAAAAGGAGGTGTGACACCCCCAGGGTTTGAATGTCACGAGCACCCTGAATATGTGTTTAAACTGGAGAAAGCTTTGTACGGGCTAAAGTAGGCTCCTCGAGCTTGGTATGAAAGGCTGTCAAAGTTCCTCTTGGAAAATGGCTTTAAAAGAGGGAAAATTGACAACACTCTTTTTTTAAAGAAATGAGGAAGGAACCTGCTCATTGTTCAGGTCTATGTTGATGATATCATTTTTGGAGCAACAACTGATTCACTGTGTGGAGAATTTGCAAAACTTATTAGAAGTGAATTTGAAATGAGCATGATGTGGGAACTGAACTTCTTCTTGGGCCTTCAAGTAAAATAGTCCCCAAAGGGTATATCCATTTGTCATCAAAATACATCAGGGAGCTCTTAAAGTGGTTTAACATGGAAGCATCAAAGGTGATAGACACTCCTATTGCTACTGCCACTCGATTGGACATGGATGAAACTGGATCTCCTGTGAATCAAACCATGTATAGAGACATTATTGGGTCTCTCCTCTATCTCACTGCTAGTAGACCTGATATTGTTTTTAGTGTGGGGCTATGTGCAAGGATTCAATCAAACCCTAAAGAATCAACCTTGAAGGCTGCCAAAAGAATACTAATATACCTCAACGGAACATAAGACCTGGTGCTATATTATCCATCAGGTGACAGTTTTAATCTGATTGGGTATGCTGATGCAGATTATGCAGGTTATCTTATGGACAGGAAAAACACTTCTGGAATGGCTCACTTCTTAGGTTCATGTCTTATCTCTTAGGGCACAAGGAAATAAAATTCAGTGGCTCTTTCAACAACTGAAGCTAAATATGTAGTCGCAGCATCCTGCGGTGCTCAACTAATAGATCTTAAATACTCTTGCCTTGTGTTTTGATGATCTAACAAACTTACTGATAAGAACCAGATAGGGAACCGACCTACTTAGATTGCTGCAAACTTAAACGGATTCTAGCTAGGGATGAACTGCTACAGATTCAGAAGCTAGGAACCAATCAAGGACCTGGTGCTCCTGTGGTTCCTATATAGTAATACAAAGTCATGTGGACATAGCTGGAACTGAAGTGATTGACGACACTGTTTCTGCCGCACTGCAATACATTGTCAGCGCACTCACTCTCTAACCAGAACAAAGCACTCACATCACCTCAAGTGATGTGATCAATATGTACCCGATGAAGCTTCATACAAAGACATCACTGGAAGGTTTTTGTTCCTCATTCAAGCTTTTGCAAAAATAGAAAACTCATCATCCTCTCAAGCTTGAAGAACAAGGTTGAATGCCACTAAAGACCAGTTCCTAAAAGATTGATTGTTGTTGTCCTAGTTGAGTTGTAACCTTGTTATTGTACTTACTATATCTCCTAAATCGCTTACTTAGAAGCATACTGATTAGGAGTCCTCTTGTAAGTCCTCAAACTCGCTGAGTTTAGGTTGTGACTAGATATAGAAAAGTCTTTGTAATTGTAGAATTACAAAGTGGCTTGGGGTGATAGCATCACAAGTTAGAAAAAACCTTTGTAACTAGGATAGTCACAAAGTGGCTTGTGGTAAAGGTACCACAAGTTAGTTGAGTAAATCCTTTGCAATCGGAAGTATTGTAAAGTGGCTTGTAATAAGTAAGATTACAAGTTAGTAAAGTTAAAAGCCTGCAGGTATAGGTCGTGATTTTTTGATCCCCTTGTGCGAGATTTTTCCACGTAAAAATCCTCTGCCTCATTTACTTACTGCTTTACTAAGTGCTCTCAGCAGAAACTTGTAAAGGACTAGGTACTCTAAGACTTGGTGGATCCAAACAAACTATCAATTGGTATCAGAGCAGGTTCCTCCTACCAGGTTAACACCTAGGAAGGATCCTCATGATGGCTCCACTAAATCTTGAAGAAGGTCAATCCATATACCACCCACCCAAGTTTGATGAAAATTGCTATTGGTGGTGGAAAGCTAGAATGCATGATTTTATCATGGCCGAGGATTGCGAGCTTTGGGATATTATACGCGATGGTCCGTTTATTCCAATCAAGACCAGCGGAGAATACACTAAAGCAAACAAGAAAGCATTGAAGAAGAATGCTCGTGCCAAGAATATTCTGGTATATGGTTTGGAACCTAACGAGTACGACAAAATCTTTATATGTGACACTGCCAAGGAAATATGGGAGGCTTTTCAAATAGCTTATGATGGAACTACACAAGTAAAACAAGATAAATCTAATACTGACGATAGTTATACGATGGCAGTTGAAGGCGAGGAGACTAGATATGACTCAACGCTTGCTTTGATGGCGCAATCAGACAATGATGAAGAAAATGGCAACGAAGAGGTAAACTTCAGGGATGTTCAGAAAAATCTGAAATCCTACTCTCCAAAAAAACTCATGTGTTTAACTGATGTTTTATTTACTGTATTTTGTAGTCTTGTGGAGGATATGGATTCTTTGTTCTTAGAACTAGAAGAATCTGAACATACTAGGAAAGACTTAGTGGCTGTAATTACTGATCAAAAGAATGCCATTGAAACTCTTAGAAAAGAAAAGAGTGATCTCTTGGCAGAAGTTGCTGACCAAAGGGAACAAATAGTAGAGCCCTTGAATAAGTCAAAACCTGAAAACCCTGAAAGAGGAAAGGAGATAGTTAGTGAGGAATATGTTAGGCTTGAAGATGAGATGAAGGCCTTGAGATGTACGATGAGCGCTGAAATTGAGAAAAACGAGCTCCTTCAAGCCAATCTAGAAAAAGTAATGAATGACCTTGAAAAGTCTCTAAAGTGGACCTGGTTCGTAGAGACTACCACTGCCTTGTTCACTAATGATAGTGAAAAAGGGCGGGGAACAGGGTTTTCAAGGAAAAAATCCTTACAACCCTCACAGTAAGAGCGCCACTACATCCGATAACTGGCCTCGGACCCAATGTGGGAACATTGGGCACTCCAAGGAAGGTGTTCAGGACAAAAATCAATTAGTACCAAAAGACAAAGTGGTTGCTGAAACTGTGATCACAAAAGAGGGACCAAGTTCCACTCATAGAAAATGCACATTACCTTCATGAACTAAAAGAGCTCTTATTCATCCTCTTGGTTACTACAAGGGACCCAAACTTGTTTTGGTTCCTAAAAATAACTCTTAAAATTCTTGTGCAGGGGACAGTGACGGGACGTGGTCAACAATGGTTCATGAATAGTAGATGTTCAAAACATATGACTGGGAATACCACAAACTTTTTTCACTAAAAGCCCTACAGGGAGGGAGTGTGTCCTTTGGCAATGGCAAAAATGGGTACATTCTTGGAGTTGAAAAAGTTGGTAAGTCACTCACTCACTCAATTGAAAATGTGTACTATATCAATGGACTTAAGTATAGTCTCCTGAGTGTCTCTCAAATTTGCGATAAGGGAAACAAGGTGGAGTTCTTGTCCAAAATATGTACAGTCACTGACCTTGTGACTGGTGAAATAGTCCTGGTGGCCAAAAGATACAAGAACATCTATGTTGCTGATTTCTCATCGTTACAGAGTGGTGACCTGAGTTGTCTGAAGGCTGTTGACGATGATGCTGAACTATGGCACAGAAGATTGGGCCATGCAAGCTTCTCCCTTCTGAATAAACTAACTCAAAAGGACCTGGTCCATGGTTTGCCTATGTCACAATTCAAAACTCAAAAGGTCTGCGATGCCTGTGCTAGAGGAAAACATGTAAAGTCCTCTTTTAAGTCAAAAAAAGATGTGAGCACCTCAAAACCATTTGAGCTCTTGCATATGGATCTGTGCAGACCTATGAGGGTGCAAAGAAGAGGAGGAAAGAGATACATTTTCGTGATCGTGGATGACTATTCCAGATTCACATGGACACTGTTTCTCAGAACAAAAGATGAAATGACTAAAGTATTTGTGGCCTTTGTGAAGAAAATCCAGGTGAAGATGGAGTCTAGAGTTGTATGCATTAGATCAGATCATGGGACAAAATTTGACAATGTCCAATTTGATGATTTCTGCAATGAAAATGGTATCTCTCACAACTTATCAGCTCCCATAACTCCTCAGCAAAATGGTGTAGTAGAAAGAAAGAACAGAACTCTAGAAGAAATGGTAAGAACAATGCTGATTAACAGTAGACTTACAAAGAACTTCTAGGCTGAAGCTATCAACTCCTGCTACTTAGTGAACAAGTGCATGATCAGATCAATTCTGAATAAGACACCATATGAATTGTTGAATGGAAGAAAACCCAAGCTGACCTACCTAAGAACATTTGGATGCAAATGCTATGTTCTCGACAATGGAAAAGATCAGCTTGGTAAGTTCGATGCCAAAAATGATGAAGGGATATTTCTTGGCTACTCTTCTCAAATCAAGGCTTACAAGATATATAACAAGCGGACTCAATGTGTTGAAGAAAGCATCCATGTTATCTTTGATGAATCTCACCCATCATTTGCGAAGAACGTTGAGGAAGATCAAGATGGAGAACCCTTACTTATTCCTGGCAAAGTCATTAACATGACAAACGGAAAGGCAGATATGATGAGTCAAATGAAGGAGGCAAATGAAGACAACGCTGCCTCGTCATCTACAGAACCAAGCACTTTAATTACAACCACTGAAGCTGAAGAAAGAGTGGTTGATGCAGTTCAGGGAACTCCACTTGCATCTGAGAGAAGGATAGAGGAAAATCAGCCAAACATACCTTCTTCTTCTCTGAATGAACTGCAATCATCTAACAGAGACATCAAATTTCTCACCCTATAAACAACATAATTACTCCTCTAGATTCCGGAGTCCAAACCAGATCAAAAGCTAGAAATTCACTTGCCTTCTAAGATTTTCTCTCCCAGATAGAACCCAAAAACATCAAGGAAGCCCTAAAAGATGTAGATTGGATTACAGCCATGCAAGACGAGCTGCATCAGTTTGAGAGAAACAACGTGTGGCACTTGGTACCCATACCCCCAGATAGAACCATTATAGAAACCAGGTGGGTATTCAGAAACAAGCTCGATAAGCATGGAATTACAACAAGGAACAAGTCTAGGCTAGTGATTCAAGGTTACAATCAGGAGGAAGGGATTGACTATGATGAAACTTTTGCTCCAGTGGCTCACATGGAAGCCGTCAGAATTTTGATCACCTTTGCTTCTCATATAGAATTCACTTTGTTCCAAATGGATGTCAAAAGTGCATTCTTGAATGGACTACTTAAGGAAGAAGTCTATGTGAAGCAAACACCTGGGTTTGAAAGTCATGAGCACCCTGAGTATGTGTTCAAATTGGACAAAGCCTTGTATGGGCTAAAGCAGGCTCCTCGAGCGTGGTATGAAAGATTGTCAAAATTTCTCTTAGAAAATGGCTTTAAGAGAGGGAAGATTGACAATACTATTTTCTTAAAGAAACGAGGAAGGAACCTGCTCATTGTTCAGGTCTATGTTGATGATATCATCTTTGGAGCAACATCTGACTCTCTATGTGAAGAATTTGCAAAACTTATGGGGAGTGAATTTGAAATGAGCATGATGGGGGAATAAATTTCTTGTTGGGTCTTCAAGTAAAATAGTCCCCAAAAGGTACTTCCATGTGTCAGCAAAAATACATCAGGGAACTCTTGAAAAGGTTTGGCATGGAAGCATCAAAAGTGATAGACACTCCCACTCGACTGGACATGGATGAAACATGATCTCCTATGAATCAAACAATATATAGAGGAATCATTGGGTCTCTTCTCTATCTCACTGCCAGTCGACCTGATATTGTTTTCAGCGTGGGGTTGTGTGCGAGGTTTCAATCAAACCCCAAGGAATCTCACTTGAAGGCTGCCAAAAGAATACTGAGATATCTCAAAGGCATGCAGGACCTGGTGCTATATTATCCATCATGTGACAATTTTAATCTAATTGGGTATGCTGATGCAGACTATGCAGGTTATCTTGGGGACAAAAAAAGTACTTCTGGGATGGATCACTTCTTAGGATCATGTCTTATCTCTTGGGGTACAAGGAAGCAAAATTCAGTGGCTCTTTCAACAACTGAAGCTAAATATGTGGTTGCAGCATCCTGTTGTGCTCGGCTTCTGTGGATCAAGCAGCAACTGGAGGATTTTGGAGTTCTCACTGAGAGTGTGCCTCTCCTATGTGATAATACCAGTGCACTTAACATGTCAAAAAATCCAATCCAACATAAAAGGACCAAACATATTGATGTGAGACATCATTTTCTGAGAGATAATATGGAGAAAGGGTTGATATGCGTGAAGTTCTGCAGCATTGAAGATCAAATTGCATACATTTTTACCAAGGCAATAAGTAGGGAATAGTTTGAAAGAAACAGAGTAAAGTTGGGACTGTTGAGGCCAAACTAAGAACTTGATCCCTTTTTGAGTTGGCTAGAGTTAATAAGAAATAATAGGTTCAAAGTGTTTTCTGGCCCTGCCTAACTCACTTCAATACCATTGTAGGTAAATACACATGGTGAGCATAGAAGTAGTAGATGCAGTATATGACTGATAAAAGCGAATTAATTCTTTTCAAAAAAGGGGAAGAGGGGCTTGAAGAAAATGTTTCTCAAGAACCAGGTTCTTGTACTAAAAGTTAGTAGTTCTGTACATCCTTTAATACACGTCTTAAAAGGCACAAAATACAACTGCCATGTCATCAACTTTTCAGATCTGGCTGTCACGTCTCTTCAATTCAAAATGTTCCATCTCCCTTTGAAATGTCACGATTCTCCATGCCCAACCGCCGTTTCAGAACCGATACCTATTCTTCTCCCTTCATAATTGTCCTCTCCGTTTAAAAAACCCCTCTCGTCTGCTCTTCCTAACCATAAGCCCTATGCTAGATTCACCAAAAAGGAAGGATCATCACACCTCCTCTTCTAATGGCTGATAAAACTTCTGACCCATCCATGGAACCTCTCCCCTTCACTAAGTCCGTGTCACCCTCTATCACCTCCACTGCTACAATCACACCTTCCCTAGTTTCCCAACCTCCTCCCTACTCTGAAACTCCTGAAACCACTGTTCCGTTCTCAACGTCATCTGATGTCCACACCCGTAAAACCCTAATTGGAAAATAAAGTGAAAATACTGACTTCATAAAAGGCTCCTCCATCGTTACCGTCGACTCCATGGTCGTGGAAGCAGCTGTTGAGGAAGAAAAGATTGTGTTTGTCGTATCTGCGGATGGCATATTGCATAAAGTTATTTCTTAGAGACAAGAGTCACAAAACGTGTGGGTAGAATGGAACTTTTTGGCTGATGAAGGGAATGCATCAGTATATACTACTAGGGCATCTTATGAGGAACCTGATCCCTCTCCGGAGGATCCAGGTCACGACTCTCATCCCCAGGATAGTGTTGTACTTGCTTTCGATGTTATGCCCCAGGAAATTCAAGTACCAGAAATGAGGTCTAGTGATGAAGAAGACCTAGACAATGTGACCCTAGATGCATTCTTAAGTCAGCGTAGGGTTGCCACCACTTCTGAGTCTGAAAGTAAGCGACCTACTACCAGGCTTCAAGTCAAAGCAGCCTACGATTCTGCACTTCAAAAGAGCAAGAAAAGTAGTAAAAAGAAAAGGAAAAAGTTGGTAAAGAATGGTGTCCCTGTAAGTGATGAAGCAATCCATGTCATTGTGGTGGAGGAAGAAACTCCTGAGGAACCTGGTTCCCTTGTGAGGAGGTCCTCGAAAAAGGTTGAGTCTGTATCCATAGAAAAATGATCTACTTCCAAGTCCAAGACAAAGAAGGCAATGAGTGATGAAGATATTCTTGTCAAGTCCAAGGGGAAAGGTAAAGTTAGTGGAGAAAATCATAGGAAACACAAATGGGAAATAGTTGAAGAACCCATTTCTGGGAAGAAAGCCAGAAGTGACGTCTGCCTTGGAT